CACTCATTCGGTGCAATCATTTCCGATTATTAGAGAGAAACTTCCCGATGGGCAGAACATCAAAAAACTCCTCAATCGCACATAGTAGCATGCATTTCGTCAATGTAATTAAGTCCTCAGTGTGGCCATCCAACGAAAGAATAACTTCCAAAAGTTATCAGTCCACTAGAAAGCCGTAATGATGACGGCCTTGCACAGAAATCCCAGGCGTGCATTACTGTCATTCAGTCTAAACGAGCCTGTGCAGCATGGGAGGGCGAAGCATTTCAGTACGACTGGATCACCTCTCTTATTCGAACGTCTTCCATAGAAAGGTTCAGGACCACCAACATGGGATGAGCTTATTGTATTCGGCCTCTAAAATGCTTGCTGTCCCCTTCATGAAATCTTCGCCGGACAAGGGCACGCTCGCAACAGATCAAACCATGAAGGTATCGGTCCAGGGAAAGCTAACACCCATCAATTTTTCGATTGGCACCGGGGATGGAAAGACACAAATAACTACTCCATAAAATTTTGGACGGCGTTCGATTCCCTGAACCCATAAGCACTTCGGAATACATTAAAATCGGACCGTAACCCTACTAGGTTCCTAAGGTTGTTGAGAACTTACCGCGAGACCGTAAGAGTAGGTTTTCGTATATTCGTTGGAGGGTTGGCTTGTTGCCTCAGGTTCAAAAGGGCTGTCCACCATCATATACGGTGTTCAGCTTTTTGGTTGACTGAATAATCCACCAAGCTATCAACAAACACTTTGTGGTGGACGCTGGACAAAACGTATCGATCGCGGACCTTGAATTTTCGGAAGACAGCTGTCATTGCTGCAGATAACCATAGTTTAAAGTAGGTCTGAGTAGCATGACAGATGCGCGCCGTAGTAAGTCGCAAAATGGAGATTTTTGACCAATCGTGTTCGAGGGACATTCATCAGCCTTCACCCTAGCGAATCATTTACTAGATGACTCTATTAATTTTATCAGTTCAACTCGACTATTCTCCTCAATGGACATGCAAAGGGCGGAGGTTTTACCTCGCTTGGAAGAAACCCGACGGGTGACCCTTAAAGTGAAGCGTTTACTATGGCTTGGAAAAGAAATCGGTCTTAAAAATGTGGTTTAATTGTGAGTCTGCAGTCCGATCTGAGTAGCATGACAGATGCGCGCCGTAGTAAGTTGCAAAATGGAGATTTTTGACCAATCGTGTTCGAGGGACATTCTCGGGGTATCTCATTTTGAATGGAGATGTTTACCGTCGGTGTTCGCATTGTTCGAATCGCAGCTAATCCAAAGACGTTAAGTTCGAAGGCTTAGATACGTTCTTATTCATCGTCAAAGCTGTTCCTGAAATAAAATCGCGTCAAGAAAACATCAGCCAGCTGGTCGACCGAAAATTCGGATCGACGAAGCTTAATCTGGTGTTAAAGGGCTGAACCCACAGGTCGTTCACGGCACAGACTCGAGGCGCGAATTTGCTGACCGGAACTCTCGTGGTTCGAACCCACTCCGGGTATCTCGACTGCTAGTGTTTAGATTTGGGCAAACTGGCCGTATCTCAGCCCTCACGCTATCTGCCGGTGGCGTGATAGCTAACCATCCGAGAATGTTATTGCTGAATGATGGTAATTATATCACTATACGGGCGCACACTATCTGAAGCAATATTAAATGGGTATCTGCGAGGGCCTCGACAAAGGTTTCCACTTCTGGGAAGGTGCAACCCTTGAACCGACCAAAGCAAATGAAATCAAGGGTAACGTTCATCGTTCTAATTTTACCGGTTACGTAACTATGTACTTCACCCAGCGACATGCTGGCAGTTTGTGCACACATGACAAGCGCACCAAGCTCCAATTTCCAGTTCTGTTTGACAATCTCAGGTGTTCTGCGTTCGTACTTTGTTCTGTTGACACTGTACACCCCGTGCTCAATCAATCCCGGTCATAATCACTCAGTAATTAACTAACGGCAAGGTCACGAAACTTGAAGTATTTGACGGTTTTTAAAGTATTACAAACTTTGGTCTGGAAAGTTGCCTCCAACAAGTAACATCGCATGCCTGTGAAAAACTCGGTGGTTAGATGTTTTCATCTATTGTGCTCAGTCCCAAATCTCTCTTCGAAATGAACAATAAAGTCTAAAGGTAGCTATTACATAACAAACTGTAAACATCCGACTGAGTTTGAGCATCGGGCTACTTACAGGTCCCATGTTGGTTTACGCAAAAGCGTTGAGTTTAAAGCAGCTTCTCACTCGCCATACCTTGTGCCCAAAAGTACATCACAATATGTTCATCGGCCTCGCATCCAACAGGGGACAAGCAGATCTGGACTAGACAAGCGCAACTTGGCGACGATACCAGTAATCATGAGCCAATATGAAACATCAAGAGTCTACCGGACAACAAGGTTCAAGTCTTTCATCAGAGAATTCAAAGAACAATGGATACAATTGCGGTGCAGCACACTCACCATATCCTTCACCCTAACACGTCCTCGTCCAAAAACTATGGAATTCGGTGGAGTGGCCGCGGGTAAGCAGAACGCAAACGACGTTGCGACGGTCGTCGGAAGGGTGAGCAGAAATGGATGTATTCGCATGCTTTCCGACTGAAGGGAAATAGAGTGTAAGAGGGAGCTTTACATGCAGCATTAAGCCATAAGGTAGTCACGTCATCTGAACTAGGCTCTGAACAAAATGCAATAAAAAAGGACAGTCTTAACCATTAAATACAGGGTGTCTTATAATAAACGCAAAATTTGATTGGATTAATATACGTAGTCAATCAAAGAAAAAAAAACAAAATTTATTATTTTTAGTAGTCACATTAAGAAGGTTTTGTGTGCAAGTGTTGAAATTTTTTGTTTACAAAAGATGTCAGTACGCCTATTGAAATGGTGAAACCCTATTATTCCCTTGATGAAAGCGCCACCGCTGCACTGCGTGGTTACAAAACCAAACATATTCTCATCAAAGATCCTTTCACCGTGTCGACCATTACACGCTTGATTGCGAAACTTGAGTCCACTGGATCTGTATTGGACTTTCCTGGCAAAGGGAGAAAGTCTCTAAGTGATGAAAGAGCACCCATTGTACAGAATGCCGTCGAGCAACTTCAGTCTTAGAGCACCATGGCATCTTCGTCAAGAACTCAATTGACCTGCATTCCCCGCACCAGCGTGCATCGTATTATGGAACGCCACCTTCATCTCTACCCGTATCATTTCACTTTATTACAAAACATCACAAAAGAGGATAAGGAGCAACGTGTCACGTTTGCTAGCTGGCTGCTGGACAGTGAAGAAATCGTTCCCAACATTTTATGGAGCGATGAAGCAAAGTTTTCTGTGTATGGCATAATAAAAGAGCAAAATTGCGTAATATGGCTCCGTAAAGCTCCTCACGAGTACCTCACCCATAATCTCCATTCCCATCATCTCTGTGTGTGGATGGGATTCTCCTCAAAG